GCGACCCCTCAAGCAAATGGTGCCCTTGGTTAGCGCTTCCAAAATGGCATCGTTCTTCTCAACCACAAACCGGATACCACAGGTAGTGGCATTGTTTTGTCTCAGGGCCTCGGCCGATCCCAAAAGGGCTGGACGTCCGGCAGTGTTGACACAGGGGTTGGACTGTTCCATGTCAAGGCGGAGGCCATCATAGGCCTTGTCGCCAGTCCAGGACTCTACCTTCCATACAGATCCATGACCAGTGTCTGCCAAGGGGACCTGTCCCACACGAACGGTGATCTTGTCCATGTCGCTCTGGAATTCGAAATCCGGAATGGCCAGCTCCTTGAGAAGGACCATCCTGATTCGTTCCAACTGTCCACTGATCTGGCCGACCTCATGCTGCGCAAGCGTCATGAAAATACAGCCAATCGGGGTCCGGAACACTGCCTCCTTAATGTCCGGGACTGTCCCCGCAACCCTGCCTTTGTTGGACAGGAGAATATTGATGCGAGACCAGATGGTTTCAGTCGTAATACCATCTGGTAGCTCAACCGACCTTCTGTTCAGGAATCTGATGGTGAGCCCACGGCTCTTAGCCTTGGGGGTGGGTGAGGAGGATGGGGGTGCAGGCATCTTGCTGTCGCCCCTGTCGAACCTGGTGTTAGCAAGATAGCTCCTTTTGCCCACCACAGTCTTCCAGGCCCCGGGTATTGCTGCTGCCGGTCCCTCAGGGAGGGATGGCTCCTCATCCGTCGAGGGTGTCTGTGTCACCGGGGCCTTTTTCATCTGCACCAATTTAGGCTTGGTATTGGCCTTTGCGTCAGTCTTGGGGGTGGGGGTAACGGATACTCCACCATCGCTGTCCGAACTAAAGGTGCTCGACGAGCTGCCCCCCGTCGGCAGTGGAAGGGCCACCTCCACCGGTTTCTTCTTCTCCTTCTTGGGATTCGTGCAGTCGGCTGACAGGTGTCCCCTTGCCTTGCAGTTGAAGCATTGCCTCTTCTCCTTATCGTCAGCCTTGGAAGGGGCCGAGGAGTGGGTGGCTTGAGTGGCATCAGGTGCCATGTGCCTATTAGCCACAGTGGCCCAAGACACCTTCTTAGCAGCAGGAGGGGCCGCAGCCGACTCTCCACTCACAGACGGAGTGCTTCTCATAGGGGGAGGGGGGGGGGTCGTGGAGTTCCTTGTTAGTCCAGTCCTCCTTCGAACCGCCTCTTCCAACTTCCTATTTTCCTCCTCCAAGTCAAAAACCCTACTCCTCAGGTTCCTGTACAAAGACCTGAATTCTCCCAACTCTTGAATGATACTCCTCATATCCTTTGTCACATCGCCAAGGTTATCATATCCTTCCTTACCGCCAAACAGCACTCTCCGGACCTCTTCATCCTGGTAGTCCGACTCCGAACTTGAATCCGAACTATCGTCCGAGGGACTGGGAGCATCACCGGTGCAAGGGATAGCAGCTGGTGTTCCTATTTCATCGAGGACTTCGAGAATAAAGTCTTGAGACACCACTGATTCCGACCGTCTGGAGGGGGGGGCATACAGTTCCTCATCCAACCTCCTCAGATCATCATCAACCGTATCAAGCTGTCTCATCGCATCCAGTGCCCTCGCGACGCGTGCATCTGCCAACTCGGGTTGGGTGGGGAGTTGCACCACCATAGGTGAACCGGATCGGACTGGGGAAGAGGGGATCGCATCCGAGTCTGCATGTTTACTATCCCCTAATCCCGTAGCCTCGCTATTTTTATCACCACCCATGTCCATAGGGGTGTCCCTAGCAATCACCTCTGAAGAGGGAAGCACATCGTTAGTAGCGAAAGGGGGGGAACTCGCCCTATCTGATGACTCAATAGTCGAAGCTGGGTATGGAACCAGCTTAAGTCCAGGAGCAGTCTGTTGCCTAATCTCATCCAAGGTCATCTGTTCCTTGGGGATCACCATCATCTTCCTCCCTTCCTTAGTCGGAACCCCTTTGGTAGGAGTGAGCACCGAACCCGAACTCCCCCTAGACACAGATATCAGGGTAGGGTCAGGCGAGGGGGATCGTCCACGTCGTTTTCGTTCCGCAAATGGGGGCGGCTTGGGCTCGTAGTCAGAGTCTGACCTGGCGCTGAGGTCAAACTTATTGCCGTAAATCTTCCTATGCCCAGAGGACAGCGACATCGCGTCCAATAGGGCAGGGGTGGAGTGACTCCTGCTGGCCAGAGGTGCCAATATTCCCGGTGTCATTCTTTCCACTGCTGATCGAGACATGATTTGCCTCGGAGGGGTCGATGCCCAACTGGAGGCCTCCATGGTAGCAGAGGGATCCCTTTCCAGAGGGGCGGGTGCGGGGGATTCTGGGATCACTGCTTGTGAGTCACCAGGAGCCGAGGAGTCGTGGGATAGTGCGAATTCCGATCCCCCCTCAGGATTGTATCGGTTGAAAAATCGAGCGGTCGAAGCGAGGTCCAGGCCACATCAAGCCACACAGCCCCTCCCAATCAACCAACCCTTCACCAAACACTCCACATCTTTCATCGTGACAGCCCTGGCAGTAATAACCATAGCCCTTACTTCATCATCAAACGCCTCGTTGACAGCGTTGACGCAACCGTAGTCATGATCAAACGAGAGGAACTTGTAGTCACCTCCCGGAGCTCGGTACGAGCGAATCTCAAAAGGAACAAGCGCCCGGTGGTGTTTCACCTTATCGTGTGGCGGGACCGGGACATCAAGAATAACCGAGGGTGTACCCAGGGAAAAGGAGGAAGGTTCCGCATCCGTAAACATGGACGAGGAAACTTCAAACGACAAGGCCGAAGCCTGAGGGGAATGGGAGGGAGACGACATGTCTGCCCACCCGACTGCACCTGGGATTACCGGGCTTAAACCACGGATATCTCGCCCAAAGTGCCTTCGAGGCTAGGTAGCGCACACCAACTCAACCCTAAGCGAGGGGAGGAGGAAAGTATTTGCTTCAGATGTGGTGAAACAAAATAAACAAACAAAGTGCAAGAAAATTAACCGAGCCGAAAAGCTTCAAAGAGGTAAAGGAATATCCCTGGCATGTAAGAAAGGGTGTCCGAAGGAGATTACCAGATTGCGTAAAGAAAGTAAAATATAAAGGGGCACACCCCTTTATATACTAAGAAAATCCTCCATGATCACTAATACAAAAGAAAGTTCTTGGCGTCGCGCTTAGCCGCGATTTCTCTATCGGGTTCCGCTATCTTCCGTTGCGCGGCAACACATCCCACTCGTTCATACAAAGAAGATCCAATCATACAACCAAGAAAACCACAACCAATATAGGCAACGAAGAACCCATGCATATTCCTTCTCCATAGCCGGGTGGCCGTGACACTGACCCTTCTCCAATTGGATAATCAGTGGTCCCTCTTTTGTCATCCTATGTACGTCATGCAGATGCTCGATCATATTCTTTGTTGAACTATCTGCAAAGGTGACTGCAATGCGAGGATTTGGATCTATTGAATCAAATATCAGCTAAGTACTAATTCTAAAATAGAATATACTTACACCGTGCAGACCTCCATCGAGTTCGACCATCGCCAGTCGCATGCTCTGATCCATTTTGTGCCCTGTACACCTACAACTTGCGGATCTTTTGCTTTCTCTCATACAGAACCCGTTCAGCAGGATCAGGATTTCACATACTTTCCATGTTGCTTAGTGCATTAAGGGTCGTGGTAAGTATTCCACTTGATGCACTTGAGAGAGCACTAATACCATCTCCATCTGAAAGTGATGATAATGGTTGCAGATATCCGGATCCAAGAGAGTCCATTGAGTTCTCGGGTAACTGCTCTCGAAATTCCCAGACATCAACCTGGCTTGCATCGGTTCTTTGGCTTTGTTGCAACATTATCACTTGAGTTGAAGCGATGGACTTAGAAAAGTATTGAAAAGAATGACAAGGCTTGTAGTGGAATGATTTCTTCAGTCGCATCTTAACACCTGCAGCACTTGATAATCTATTTAACCTTCTTCTCTTTCTGGTGGGAATTTTATTTCCTGTGCTCGTGATAAGGCATCACCATTTATCACTCACAGTTTGTGTGAATTTGTATGGCCGAGAAATGGGAGAATGAAGCTTGATTCCCTTTTTGCCACATACCAGTGCGGGTTTATATCATAGATGAAAAGTAAACACATGAGAAAAAAAGCCGAGGCTGGCATCATATGACAACCTCGGAGAAAGAAAACTCAAAAGAAAAGATACCATATATCAGAACCTCGGGTGAGGAGAAAAAAGTCATATGAAAGACTCGGAAGAAAATAACAACAAGTGAAACGAAAGGTATCATGCCTTAGTTATATATGGTATGGCTATAAGGTCCTGAGACGAGAAATGAAGGAGATGAAAAAAGCCATAGAAAAAACTAACGGAAAGAAGAGTAGTAAGGAAACTAAGCAAAAAGAAAACTAGTCTGTACGGCGGATAAATACTAAATCTAATAGTTTGTCTACTGTCCCTGGCAGTCCTCACCCACACCCGGCGGTCCTCACCCAATCCCGGTGGTCCTCACCCACAGCCGGCGGTCTTCATCCATGCCCGGTAGCCTTTGCCCACACCCACCCCAGGCCATCCTCACTCCATGCCGTCCTGACCCACCCCCGACCGTCATCAGGTATCCCTGGCCGTCCCCTGCCGTCTCCCTCATTTTTTCCAACATCTGCCCGGCCGTCATTCCAAATACCTGCCGTCTGTACCCCCCCCCCCTGTCGTCTTCACCTGCCCCCTACCGTCTTTTGATGCCCCCTGTAGTCCCCACATGTTCCCGGCCGTCCTCCTATCTCACCTGCTGTCTGCCTAAGTACCGGCTTTCACTTATGTCTCACTCTACTCAGAAAGGCCTAGCGTGTAGGGCCCTGCGGTCCCGGCCCAGCCCGGCGGTCCGCGGCGTAATTTGACCTACACAGGACCGCGGCTAGTGGTCCCGTCCCGTCCCGTCCTCTTGGCATTATCCCCGTAGTCCCTGTGGGGCCCCCGGACGGTTCGGAACACTGAGGTGATCTACAGAGGGGTAATAGCGTGCCAGGAAAACACGGTCATGATGCACTGAATTCCGGGCAAGGAAGGCGACGCCTCTGTCTGGGACCCATTTCTTAACGTATGCGAGTCCTTCTGTGGCTTGGGCGATGGTTATGTTTGATTCTAGGACGTGGGCTATGAGGCTAGTCTATCGTGAGTAGCAAACAAGCAAACCCAATCAAAAATAAAAAAATAAAAAAGGGTAAAAAATTAGCATAAAAGGAGGTTGGGGGAAAAAAAAGAAATCGTATTAAAACCTCTATGGGTTTGGTGCTTTCCTCTATTAAAAAAAAACGTTTTTCTCAATCATTGCATCCTCATTGTGCAAGCCTTAATTGAAACTTTCACAAATTAGTTACATACTCTATTAAGAATAGGGAGTAGCTCTCTTACTTTTATGCCCCCTTTACAACCCCTGGACTGCCTACACTTCCCGAGGTTCACAAGCTCTCTTACTTCATGCCCCCTTAACAACCCCCGGACTGCCTACACTTATCGAGGTTCGCAAGCCATTCACGCATAGGTTCCTTATTTCCGTCAATGGCACTCATGACGTTACGGGCACTAACGATGATGGTCCCCTCGAGACTTTGACGGACGCCATGTATCTCGTCCATCAGCTCTTTTTTGAGACCAGCATTTCCGTGTTTGGTTGCCCAGACAACAGTCGCTGAAGGGATGATCGCTGCCAGGAGGCCCGGTGCGTAAAGATTGGCAAACTCTATAACGAAAAATGTTAACAAACATCTATCATCAGAGGGAAAATAGGTGGTAATACTAGAAAATCCGGAACTCATGGTGGATTAGAGAATTGATAAAGTGAAAGTTGGTGGTTGAAGTGAGGTCGAATGACTTGTGATGGCTGAGGTGCAGTCGAATTTGTGGTGGTTAAAGTGTGGTGGTTGGTGGTGGGGGGATTTCGTCTCGCTCCAGAGCAACTTCTCGCTCTTATTCAAAAAACTTTGGAGTAGGCTTAGGGCCCGTTTACCTACAGATGGCCGTTTAGATCATGTTGACGG